TATTGGTCCGATTTTGGTATAAACAAAAACACGAAATTGAGTCCGAAATTTCGGAATTTCATTTCATGGTAGACCCGCTGATTAGAAGCACAGTACCTTGATGGTGATGCGACGTGCTGAAGAAGGGCCAAATTAAAAGTACCCGTAACCGGCGAGCGTGTGTGAAAAGATTGATGAATGTGGAGGAAGCGAAAGAGGTTTGTTTGAATCGAAGCATTTGGCGTTCCATTGTTTCTGCCTACCCTAATGGGAGACAGGCGTGACAGATATGTATGTATGTATGTATGTACCTTGACGGCAGAAATACAAGTAGGACAATACCCATACCAATTCTAAAAGTTCTCTCGTAGTACTACCATGATTTTACCACAACCAATAATTTTAATTCTGCGTGCACTGTTCTTATAATTTTAATAATTGTATATTTTAAGTATTGTATGTTTGTTACCTGTATTTTTTTTTTTATGTTTTGCTGCTGTCAGTTTTGTTAATATGTAATCGATGACTTAAGAAAATGTTGTGTACATCTGTTATTATTGGTGTAAATGCAAGATGCAAGCCCGGTATATCAATTGAAATCAATGTCTGTATTTACATTGTTGATGTACCTTTTAAAAATAAATAACAGACAGACAGACAGATAGACAGATAGACAGATAGACAGATAGACAGATAGATAGATAGACAGATAGACAAATAAATAAATAAATAAATGCCAACGACTGTATACCCTCTCCCTCTGATTAGAACTTGTATACTGTAATATTTTATTCATAAAAGGGTTTGTTACAAATTGTAGTAGTTTTCACGTCTGACGGCAAGGGAACTCATTAATTTAAATACCAATGCCATGGATATAAAAATACCCTAGATACACTTTCCTAAAAGCCACCACGGGTCATTTTTTTATGCAACTTAGAATGGCAAATTAGCTCACGGCCCACCAGATGGAAAGTAGTAACTGTCGTTTATAAACATGAGCAGTAGTACCATGGACATAACAGAGTGTACTGTTTCACCCATGATACCCCCCATGCGTTGTCATTCCTGAGGACTCAGGTGTTATTCCTCTGTACCCTGTAAATTCACTGCCACATCGCACCCTTCAAACCGAAACACAGCCATGCAAACACAACTGCTTCACGGTAGAAACACGAAATTTGACGACGAAGACGATTGTGGGTATCTAGGACTTTTTTATATCAATAAGGTCCGCTTATGAATTTCGTATTCGCCTTTCGAGGTTAATGACTACGCGCCCTAAACTGTGTCATTGTGGAATTAATCAAATTAAACCAAGTGATGGTGGTACACTAGTCCCCTGCTGCGTTGGGTTCTAATATACTCGGCGGGGGGAGTTGTTAGTAATAGGGAGGTTAGTACCCGTTGCTATCAATGTACCCTATCAGTTCGACCTCCACGCGGTTCCCCTGGAAACTATCGTTGAATTGGACATGATAGGCTAACTGACCTACCTTTTCATCCTCACCTATCATCTCTCATTGGTACTCCATAAGTGTATACCGATAGCGCAAGCGGATTTAATGTGCCATTTTCACCTTTTAAAAAAATATATATATACAGCGAAATGTAGACATCTCGTGTTATGTTTAACAATGCCAACAGTCGACAAAAAAAAAAACAAAAAAAAAATATTTATACACATTTTTTTTAATGGATAACAATAAAGTTGTAACCCCGCCTGCGCTAATGGTATATGCTGGCGGGACACCAGTGAAGGATGATAGGCGAGGATGAAAGCAGGTCAGTTAGCCCATCATGATGAATACACCTGGAATTCATAGATTTAGTTTGTGATAATCTATAAAACAGTAATTTTGCTAAATTATCAAATTGAAATATATGGTTAAAGGATAAGCTAAGAGAATTGGCGCCATAGAAACAACGCCATAATAAGTTATAAAGCCTTCAGTAAATTTTTTTCAACTAACTTCAAAAAGATTCGGTTCGGTTTCGGTTTTCAATTCTATTGTATTTTTTTATGTTTGTCACCTCATAACTCCGTCAGTTGAAAACCGGTTTGGGAAATTCTCTTTTTTATCTGAAAAGATATACTTACAGATTAGTCCCATAGAAATTTTATCAAAATCGGTTCAGTAATTTAAATTTCAGACCAAAATAACTGATTTTGTTGCAACTGAAGTTATTTTTTTGTGGGACACAATCATTAATTATTGGTAAATAAAAAAACAGGCAAATATCTCGATATGGGTATTATTGCTACTCATATTTTAGTAGGCGCTTTTAGTTCAACGGAAAAGAACTATTTTTAAGGATGAAAATGTAATGGCAACCCCGTCTAATGATATATGAGAATATGAGGATTATAGTTACGAATGAAATCAGGTTAGTTGGCCCATCACAACTGATCCGCCTTCAGCCTAGGTGAGGCTGAAGACGGGTCAGTCATTCACTGGTACCGGTATTCATTTACTGGTATAAACTTTAAGAAAAGAGCATATTCCTTTTTAAAAGGCCGGCAGCACATCGCCACTGCCTTTGGTGTTGTGGGTGATCAAGGGCGACGGTAGTCACTTATCATCAGGTAAGCCGTATGCTCAAAAAAATTAAGAAAAATATAATTAATAATAGAAAAGATTTGGTTTTTTATTTGCAATGAATAAACTCAAAAACTATTTTCAAAATTATTTCACCTATAGAAAAATTACATAATCCACTATATAACAGCCCATCTTTTATTTTCAAAAACCTCATAAAACTGAAGCTATGTAGTTGCTAGTTTAGATTTAAACATACGTTAGACGCTCTTTTGTTGTAAAACTTCGAAATACGTATTTAACATTCATTTATTTATTTATTCCTTATTCACCACATTACAGAAAATGTCCGCTACAAAAGGCGGACTTAATACCACACAGCATTCAGAGTAAGTTAAACTTTTTTTTGTGGTGAGACCCTACGTTTTTTGTCTCGTAAAAATCTGCATTAGTCCACAAAAAAAATACATTGAAAACATGTTTCAATATGGGATTGGATCCCGCTATTTGTCTGACAGTGGCATCCCAAAACCAGTTCCGGTCAATGACCCCCGAATGTAGCTCGATCTGCAATATTAGGCTACCAATTCAATATTATAATTCTCCAATCAGAAATCCTAACGAATGTCACATGTATAAAAGTAAAGGTTCTAATATTGTAAATAGGAAGGGGGATTGTAAGTAATGGGGAAGTTAGGCCCCATTATTGGCAATGGGTGGCACCTCTACGTGATTCTCCTTGGAAACCATCTCCCAGGAAAGAGCATATTGATTTTTAAAAGGCCGGCAGCACACCTGCAATGTCGCCGTCGCCTATAGACATGAGCAGTACCATGGACATAACAGAGTATACTGTTTCGCCCATGATACCCCCATGCGTTGCCACTCCTGAGGACACAGGTGTTATTCCTCTGTACCCAGTAAATTCACGCCATATCACACCCTTCAAACCGAAACACAGCCATGCAAACACAATTGCTTCACGGTTGAAACACGAATGGGACAGTGGTACCCAAGCAATCGACTTTCTCTTAATAATATAATACTCATCATCATCACCATATCAGCCTTTAACTGTCCACTGCTGAACACAAGCCTCCCCTTGGGGGGTTTTGCCAATAGTTGCCACGCTTGGCAGGCGTATCGGGAATCGCAGTCAGGCTTTAGAGATGTATTAAGAGGGACGCTGCTACCCATCCCTCGCCCTCCCTTAGTCGCCTCTTACGACACCCATGGAACAGAAAAAGGTGTATTTTAATGGGTGATAATGGAATGGTAACCCCACCCGCGCTATCGGTATACACCGGCGGGGCACCAGTGAAGGATGATAGGTGAGGATGAAGCAGGTCAGTTAGCCCATCGTGACGAATTCAACAAAAATTTTTCACGGTGGTTTCCAGGGGGAACCACGTGGAGGTCGACCTAATAGAGCATATTATTAGCAATGGGGCTGTCAAACTCCATTGCTAACAATCCCTTTCCCCCGGATAAGAAGGGGTTTTTTTTAATGGGTGATAATGGAATGGTAACCCCAACCGCGCTATCGGTATACACCGGCGGGGCACCAGTGAAGGATGATAGATGAAAATGAAAACAGACCAGTTAGCCCATCATGATGAATTCATCAGGAATTAAACATGATAGTTTCCAGAGGAAACCGCGAGGAGGTAGACTTGGTTAGGTATATTGCTAGCAATGGGATTTTTAGTTACATTTTAGGTACATTTTTACTAACAATCCCTTTGCTCCCGGAAAAGAAGGGGTGGCCTGATCTATGCCGGGACCACACGGCCAATATAATATTAGTATAGGTTAAATATGTATAATATAATTGTACCTTAAGGGGTTAAAAACCTGAAATAAAAAAAAATTTATTAGACTAGTTCTATCCCGCAGTTTCACGCGTAAAATATTATATATTCTAAATTAAGATATAACCTGTCCATGGAGTTTTAATTTAAAACCCTTCACTAGTCTTAACGTAAATATGTAACAAACATTCGTCCAAACATCCTTTTTTATAACAGTGTTGCACAGGGGGAAAAGGGATTGTTGGCAATGGAGTTTGACAGCCCCATTGCTAGCAATATGCCCTATTAGGTCGACCTCCAAGTGGTTCCCCCTAGAAACCATCGTGAACAATTCTTGTTGAATTCGTCACGATGGGCTAACTGACCTGCTTCATTCTCATTTATCATCCTTCACTGGTGCCCCGCCGGTGTATACCGATAGCGCGAGTGAGGTAACCATTCCATTATCACCCATTAAAAAAACAGCGTTGCACAGTATAAAAAAAAACTATAATAATTGTAGGATCTTACTGACGAAATAAGGATAAGAAAGCAAGGATAACACATTCAATTATCTAATTATACGTACTGGTACAAACTAATCGGAATCAGTAGAAAACCAACAATGCCTTTTCCGAAACCGGCTGTGCTGACGGTCTGCGTATGCGCATAACGTCATCAAAGATTCAAGGCGAGCCGCCAGTCGCTCCGCTGCACTCGTGACGCGTGGACGTCCGCGCTCGACGATCGAATTGAAACGAATTATAAAAAAAAAAAAACTAAAAACAAACGCAATGTTTTAAGTAGTATGGTGACATCCTTGTTATCATCTCATCGAAGGCGCCATTTTGTTTGAACAGCTGTTCGTTTGGAGGTTATACTGTTGGACTGTTATGCTATAGTGGTAAGATATGTCATACACTCTCATATTAGTTTTTTGTGCTATTCAGATTTGGTATTATTAAATCTTAATACATTCCCTTTTATTTATAGACATACCTTCACATTATTATTAAAAAAAAACAAGCCATTCGGTAATCAATGACTAATTTGACATTTAATGTCAAATCAGTATAAATAAGTCTCTTCTTTACCAAATTATGTTACTCGGTAATAAATTATTAATGTAACATCTATAAACAAATATAGATAAATCTATACAAAAAAAATCTACTTACTATAAATCATACTACTCGGTAATTAATTCTAAACTTGACATTCAATGTCAAATTCGTACATAATAATTCCCATTATTACCAATCATGTTACTCGGTAATCAATATGTCTACAAAATAAGCTCCCTTCTTATAAAACAGGTTACTTGATAATGCGTGTAAATAAAAATCAATTACTGAATGTAAGCGCATCATTTTGGAATTGCTGCATTTATTTGGCTATTTTTTTGTTGTATTTTAATTGTCAGCTCAATGTGTGTATGCAAGAAAATATTTGATAAATCTAATGAAAAATTTAAAAAAATCTATGTTATAAAATCCCCACATAAAAAGTAAGTGAGTGCGAGAGAAGACTTGGATTCATTTTCTTCATTAGTACACCCGTTCGAAGCCAGGACATGTAAATTATAAATGTAACATTTACGAGTAATATCAAAAACATTCTCTTAATTTTGTCACTTGGTAATTAGTGATCACATGAATTTTCAATATCCATACAAAATAAATTATTTTACTGTTATAAGAAATTGGCCTTACTTTAAATCATGTGACTTGGTAATCAAATATTGATGTAAAGTTTATTTCCAATCAAGCTATTTGGTAATTTAAGTTTGACATTTAATGTCCAATCATAAATGAGAAAGTAACTTTGTATATATGTCCATGTGTTCTTTTTACACCTAAACTGATTTAATTTTGGTGTAAAGGTAAATTGTATGTTGGAGAAAAATATAGGCTACTTTTTGTTCCGAAAATAAAACTTGAAGAGGAGAGATTTCTCAAGTAAAAGACATGAAACTGGATTTAATTATGTTTTTAGTAAGAAATAAGGAATGCTTGTGCGTCTTTTTTTTTAAATGAACTACTTTAAACACTAATTCTATGCAAAAGAAGTCACACACATTAGTTAGTAATTACCAAAACTCAGGCCACTTGGTAATTAGGCAATATTAATTTGTCATTTAATGTTTACAAAATATACTTCTGTATCTCTAAATACAAGAATAATTATCAACATAACATCCGTTAATTGTCCACTGCTGAACATAGACATCATCATCATCATCATCATCATCATCATCATCACCTTCCTACCCTTATCCCAATTAATCGTTGGGGTCGGCCTAATATGTTTTTATCCATATTACACAAAGATTTGGCTTATAGTTTTACGACCTTGCCTGACGTCAATCCTCTTTGGGAAATAGGCCTCCTAATATTAGAAGATTTTACCAGTAGTGACCACCCCTATAGGCTTAAAAATAATGTATATATACTAGCGACCCGCCCCGGCTTCTCACGGATGCACATTACATCACATCATATTAGAAACCTCCAAAATTATCAGTGTTCTTCTACTATATTATGCATGTATTGTACATATAAAGCTTCCCCTTGAATCACTGTATCTGTTAAAAAAACTGCATCAAAATCCGTTGCATAGTTTTAAAGATCTAAGCATACATAGGGTCAGACAGATGGGAAGCGACTTTGTTTTATACTATGTAGTGATAATAGTATATATTTAATAAAAAAAAAAAAGTATATATATTTGCCCATTGCTTGACCAGCGTCCAGTGTTAAGTCCGCCATATGTACTTAGTTTTACTGTGCATTAAAGTTTAAATAAATAAATATTTATAAAAGGGGTATATATATATGTATATATGTATGGGGGATATATATATATATATATATATATATATATATATATATATATATATATATATAAATTTAAACCTTCTTTTAACCACTAAAATAAAAATAAAATCTAATATTTTAGCAACAACAATATAAGAATAGTTAAATGAAATAAAGATATAAATAGTAAACGACCGAATGTTAACCAGTAGTTAAACTTAAATGCGCAAGAGTCTATGTGTTGTGTAAGTTTATGTAACTAGCTGCGAGTGTCGACGTGTTTTAGGTCAAGACTGATGTTTTAAAATGTTGTTCGAGTCAAACAAAAAGCGACATCACAAATGTAAACAACAATAAATTTATTAAAAATAAAAAAAAAAGGAAGGAGTTGGTGTCGTGTCATATCAAGAGGTGAAGAGACTCGCTGAAAATCGTAGTGAATGGCAAGAGCTCCACCGACAAGAGAACAGCACTTAAATGGATAAATAGATAGAAAAAAAAAAGTCCGGTGACCTCGAAACGCCTGGATAGATCTTCCTAAATCGTAGCCAAGGACTATGTCGATAGATAGATATAGATAGATACTCTTTATTGTTTCCTTAAAAAGATTACAATAGTAAATTTATCACGTTAGCTTTCAATAAAAACGCATCATAATCGGACCATTCGTTTAGGAGTTAATGCCACAGAGAAAAACAGAGGTTTAGGGGGAGTAAGGGATTGTTAGTAATTGGGATTAGCAACCCCATTGCTAGCAATAAACTGTATCAGGTCGACCTCCACGCGGTTTCTCCTAGAAACCATCGTGACTAACTTATCGTTGAATTCGTCACGATACGCTAACTGACTTGCTTTATCATCCTCAGCTTTCATCCATCACTGGTGCCCCGCCAGCGTATACCGTTAGCGCAGGCAGGGTTACCATTCCATTATCATACATTAGCGGGGAGAAATCGGAATCCATGGAACACTTGATGTGCAACTGCGATTTGTTGGCAAGTATGCGTATGAGTCTACTGGGAACGGCTTATCCAGAGCCAGGGGACTACAGATATCTTAAACCGCGGGATATCGTTAAGGTAACACATAGGATCTATGAAATGATGGTATAAGGCAGGGGGATGCACAAAAGATCCGTATGGGTCGACGTGCATCGGCTTAGCTGACCCCATATGCGAAAAATAAGATCATACATAAAAAAAAAACTTTTTTGTGGTAAAACCCAATGGTCTTACCACAAAAACTTTAGTATGTTTTGAAACAAATATTATAATCAAATCTACGGCTTGTACATCCGAGTGTAGACCGTATGGGGACAAATGTCACTGGGTAACACACATTGCAACCGGATTCGTCGACGCCAATCAAACAACTTTATGGTAGGGCTAGTAATGACTAGGAGATATTATGTAGGACTCCGCTATCAATAATAGGGTTGCCAACATTTTTGTTTCAGATGTTTATAGATTTTTTTTTTTTTTTATTAAATAATATTATATTTTAATCTGTATTTCATGCTACTGTATTTCGGTTGAATTGTTTATATGTCATTGTTTATTTTTATGTTTTTGGTGCAATAAAGAGTTAAATAAATAAATAATTAATATTAAATAAATGTGGTGATTTATTTATATTTATTTATTTAAACTATAATGCACAGTGAAACTCTAAGGTACATTTGGTGGACTTAACGCCGGACGGTGTTCTCTACCAGTCGACCATTGGGCGAACAGAGAAATAAGTAGGCGGTGCATTATTGAATAGAGGAAATATAAAATGTAATATTTAATATATTCATATATTATAAACATATAATTAGACTAATATAAACATACACCTATTAATAAGGATTATATAAGTAAGCCATGTGGTCCCAGCATAGTATAGACTTTCTTTCCTATCCCGTGGGTGTCGTAAGAGACGACTAAGGGAGGGCTAGCGATTCAAAGCCTAACTGCGGCTGCCAATTCGCCTGCCAGGCGTGGCAACTACTAGCAGAACCTCCTTAGGAGGGAGCTTACGTTTAGCAGTGGACAGTTAAAAGATGCTATTTTAATATGATGATATTAGTAAAGGGGAAAGGGATTGTTAGTGACGAGGACTAATAGCCCCATTGCTAGCAATAGACCCTCTCAGGTCGACCTCCACGCGGTCCCCCCTGGAAACCATCACGGTTAATTCTTGTCGAATTCATCATGGTAGGCCAACTGACCTGCATTCATTCTCACCTATCATCTTCCACTGGTGCCTCGTCCGTGTATACCGATAGCGCGGGAGGGGTTACCATTCCATTTTCAGCCATTAAAAAAAAAGATATTAGTATGATTTCAATCTGTACTCGACTTAACGTCTCGGAACATCACTAACGTTAATAAAACAAACTATATACTATGGTATAACGTGGTCCACGCATGGCCGGCAGCCCAACAGAGCGTATCAGGTTCGATTCTCGCGCTGTGATTGATAATTAAATTAATTACAGAGTGCTTTGACTCCGTACGTGCTTCGAAACTAGTGATGTGAAATGGCTTTGTTCATATAATTGTGTTAGTTAACGGCAATGTGTGGGGGGGAAGGGATTTTTAGTAACGGGGTCTAAATGCCCCATTTCTAGCAATACACCCTATCAGGTCGACCTCCACGTGGTTCACTCTAGTGCAGTTCGTCACGATGGGTCAACTGACATGCTTTCATCCTCACCTGTCATCCCTTACTGGTGCCCCGTCAGCGTATACCGTTAGCGCAGGCGGGGTTACCATACCATTATCACCCATTAAAAAAAAACAGTAATATAATTAATAATTTTTTATGCAACTTAGAATGACAAGCAAACTGACGGCCCACCTGATGGAATAACACCTGAGGACTCAGGTGTTATTCCTCTGTACCCAGTAAATTCACGCCATATCCCACCCTTCAAACCGAAACACAGCTATGCAAACACAACTACTTTACGGTAGAAACACGAATGGGACAGAGGTACCCAAGCAATCGACTTTTGTACAAAGTCTCCCTCTGGTAATAGGACCGCAAAAAAGCCAAAATAACGGTCATAGCCCGAAGTATAAGCAAGCTGAAGTAGCAATGGGCTGGTCACAGAGCTCGAAGAACCGACAACTGATGGGGAAAAAAGGTATTTGAGTAACAACCCTGTACGGGCAAACGTAGTGTAGGACGATCCCTCACTAGATGGAATGCATTGCATGCAAGCAGTCAGTGGATGCAGGTGGCTCAGGAGCATTCTTTATCATTACCAGGTGTATTTATCACGATGGGCTAACTGACCTGCTTTTTCATTCTCACCTATCATCCCTCACTGGTGGCTCGCCAGCGTATACCGTTAGCGCGGACCGGGTTTTTTTTTTATGAGTGAAAATAGTATGGTAACCCCGCCTGCGCTAGCGGGATACACTGGCGGAGCACCAGTGAAGGGTGATAAATGAGAATGAAAACAGGCCAGTTAGCCCATCATGATGAATTCATCAGGAATTTACCATGATGGTTTCCAGGGGGAACCGCGAGCAGTATCTTGCTAGCAATGGGATTCTCAGTCTCCATTACTAACAATCCCTTTCCCCCCGCGGACCGTTACCGTTCCATTACAAAAAAATCCGTTTAAAAAAAAAAGTATTTTTTCTCCATATTTATATGTATAATTTATTATTGTTTCAGATATTAGATAGTGTATTGTGACTGGTGCCAAATTGGAATATTATACAGTCAAGATGGCGTCCGTTAAATTTTTCCTGTGCTTAAGTTTGATTCACGCGGCTCTGGGTAAAGGTGAGCAATTATTTATATTTTTTACTACCGACCCGGTTTTACTTCGAATTTTTTTTTTTAAATAAAATATAGCCCTTGCACTATATTGGGATATAGTGTATATTCTGGTATGTATATATTATAGAGGTCACTGGAATTTAGATGGCGAAAAAAGTTAGGTTGACTGGAAGAAATCTCTTTCAGAGATAACTACGCTTTTGTTTATATTGTTATTAACTTCTTGTTATTATATAGATATTAGATATATTACATTCTCTTTTTTCTAATTTCTTTTATAATTATGACAACGTACCGAATATATAAATATTTGTTGAATATATACAATACTTAGATTATATAGATAGAGTGTCTCCATAGAAATGCTTCGAGACAAGCGGGTCAACTTTTTCATACAATTTTGCGTGATAAATAGTTATTAGTGGTTTCGTGTTTCACCCATAAAGCAGCTGTGTTTGCATGCATATATATATATATATATATATATATATATATATATATATATATATATATATATATATATATATATATATATATATATATATATATATATATATATATATATATATATACATATATATATATACATATATATATATATATATATATATATATTTTATGCGTAAGTACATAGAACACTGACAAAAGAAACGAGTCAGCTAATTTAACAATTAGCTGACAAAAGTTGACCTGTCTTTGAGGCTCGATGCTCTATCTCTATCTAAATCTTAGATTGTAAGAATACATTAAAGATATCATGTTTCTCAATATACAGTTATTGGATATTGGACATATATATAGATTTTGTAACTTAATAAAATATTTATCGACTACCACTAGTTCTATGCAGGACTACAAGTACACGGTTTACACAGAGGGATTGTGTGTACGCGGACAAAAAGTCCGTTGTTTTTTCAATTAGGCCTTAACTCTACCGTTTCAGAATATCAGTGGGGGGAAAGGGATTGTTAGTAATGGAGTTTGACAGCCCCATTGCTAGCAATATGCCTTATTAGGTCGACCTCCACCTGGAAACCATCGTGAACAATTCTCGTTGAATTCGTCACGATGGGCTAAATTACCTAGTTCATCTCCTCACCTATCATCCTTCACTGGTGCCCCGCCGGTGTATACCGATAGCGCGGGTGGGGTCACCATTCCATTATCATCCATAAAAAAAAAACTCTACCGTCTACCAGGTCAATCCACCGTCACATCCCACGTGTTTACAATTAATGTGTCATAACTTTTTTTTTTCATTTCAATGACTCAAAGTAACGGTTATTTAACTGTTATTGAACGCTAAACAGTTAGACAAAAATATCTTATTCTATATAGAAATATCAATTATAGTATTATAAATGAACTGGCTGGTTGGACGAATGTCGTTTTGTGTTTGTACACAGGATAAAATTTATATATTATTTCTTTTTAATAATTTATGTTCTATTCTGTTTCTAACGTCTTTCACTTATATATTCATTTCGAAGCAAAAATTGAAAATAAATTAAAAAATCACACACAATTCCACATTCTAAATTCAAGCACACATTTTAAATCTATAGTTATACGCACAATTCTATGTTCTAAATTCAAGTGGACATATTAAATCTATAGTTATACGCAAAATTCTACGTTCTAAATTCAAGTAGACATTTTAAATCTATACTTATGCACACATTTTCTTGTTCTAAATTCAAATTTGCATTTTAACTCCCTTATTCATAAAAACTAAACCCTTCTAAAATCTACTTTAATACCACTATTACTACTTTACCTTCTTTAGTCTTTATTTCCTTTCTATCTCTTTTTCTACTGTTCACTCATTTTCTTTTTAATTGTGAAAGAGACAAAACAGTTCGATGGCTAAAACAGGTTTACCAGAAAGAGAAGAGAGAGAAGCTAAAAGAGATTACCATGTTTTAAATTTATGTAGAATTTTGACCCTCTTATTGATAAAAACGTCAAACCTCTTCTTTTGTCTCTTTCTTTTACATTATATTCCCAATGTTAAAGAAAATAACAAAACAGCAAATAAAGAGATTGAAAATACGGACTAAAGAAGGTAAAGTAGGTTACAGTTGTAGTACTATTAGATTTTAAAAGTTTTTATGAATAAAGGCATATATTATATCTATACTTATATACATAGTTCAGAGTTTTAAATTCAAGAAGACATTTTAAATCTATACTTCTAAGATAATTTATCCTGACTGACTCAGTGCACAAAACTGTAAGTAAAAAGTTTAGAAAGCTGAAATTTGAAACATACTTTAATTTTGTAACTTAAGCAATATTTCTGAACAATGTAAAGCAAAAACGTAACACGCGTGCAAAGCCGTGGGCAACAGCTAGTGTTATATGTCTGCGTAACGTTCGTCGTTTAACGGTGCGTTTCATTCAATTTAAAATAAGAATATTCAGATTCCTATGCGTAATAAATATGTAATAGTAAATTAAAAAAAAAAATAAACCAATGACGAAATGGAAGATTGTATCTTATTGTACTGTTGCTATTTGAATAATTTTTTAGGGTTCCGCACCGAAAAGGTACAAAGGAAAAGATTTTTAATAACATGTATTGTATTATATGAATCCGAATCTACTATACTGCGCAATAAAATGGGGGAGACTTTGTACAAAAGTCGATTGCTTGGGTACCTCTGTCCCATTCGTATTTCTACCGTGAAGCAGTTGTGTTTGCATGGCTGTGTTTCGGTTTGAAAGGTGGGATATGGCGTGAATTTACAGGGTACAGAGGAATAACACCTGAGTCCTCAGGAATGGCAACGCATGGGGGGTATCATGGGCGAAACAGTATACTCTGTTATGTGCATGGTACTGCTCATGTCTATAGGCAACGGTTACCACTTTCCATCAGATGGACCATCAGCTTGTTTGCCATTTTAAGTTGTATAAAAAAAGATGGAGTGACGACCTCAAATGCATTGCAGGCAGTCGGTGAATACAAGTGGCTCAGGACCGTTCCTTATGGTAGTCTATGGGGGAGGCTTATGTCCTGCAGGGAACGGATTAATGGCTGAGATGATGATGATGATGATGGTGATGATACTGTACCATCATAATGTTTCTTGCTACTATGTGTTTTTTTTTACAAACTTGTACAATATATGAATATGAAAATAAAAATTAAAAATGTGATAAACTATTACTATGTATATCAGTAAAAAATAAATAAAATCATGCTTCAATTTAAAATTTTACCTCATTTTTTTTTTATTTTAAAAAAACAAAAACCACTAGTCTCGATTCTAGTGCCATCTAGTATTGCGTATCTAATTTTGTTTAGGGTTTAATTAGGTTTAAGATAGATCATAAGGGAGGTTTTGTAGTTGCCACGTTTGGCAGGCGTGTTGGCAACTGGCTAAACACTCCTTATGAGGGAGGCTATATTTAACAATAGACAATTAACAACTGCTATAACTAACGATCTGGCCCGTCTTCGCACGGGTAGAGAGAATTTTTTAAAATAATCCTGTATTACTTACAGATTTTTCTGTAGGCGAAAGAATTTTCCAACTCGATTGATTAGTTTTTTTTTTCAGTTTAACCGTTATAAACAAACAATCAAATCTTTCCTTTGTGTAATAATACATCTATGTAGGTACGGAGCCCTCGACGCGTGAGTTCAACTCGCACGTGACTAGGCTTTTTTTATAATAATTCCCAAATTCTCGAATTACACACTCCAATAAATACGACCGCACTTTTTCACCGGCTTCCCCTATAAATACATTAATATCACCTTTGTTCCTCTGTAAATACATTAAAATCACCTTTGTTCCTCTATAAATACATTAAATCACCTTTGTTCCTCTATAAATACATTAAATCACCTTTGTTCCTCTATAAATACATTAAATCACCTTTGTTTCTCTATAAATACATTAAATCACCTTTGTTCCTCTGTAAATACATTAAATCACCTTTGTTCCTCTATAAATACATTAAAATCACCTTTGTTCCTCTGTAAATACATTAAATCACCTTTGTTCCTCTATAAATACATTAAAATCACCTTTGTTCCTCTATAAATGCATTAAAATCACCTTTGTTCCTCTATAAATACATTAAATTACCTTTGTTCCTCTATAAATACATTAAATCACCTTTGTTCCTCTATAAATACATTAAAATCACCTTTGTTCCTCTATAAATGCATTAAAATCACCTTTGTTTCACTATAATTAGATATGAACACTTGCTTATCGATTTAAATATTGGGTACTTATAATGAGACCATTTTATTTTGAATTCTCTCATTTTCAACCGACTTCAAATGAGAGGTTCTCGATTCGGTTGTGTTTTTTTTAATGTTTATTACCTCATAACTCCGTTAGTTCCAAACCGATTTGGAAAATTCTTTTTTTTATCTAAAAAGACATAATTGCAAATTGGTCCCATAGAAATTTTATGAAAATCGACTCAGTATTTTAGTTTTAAAATCAAAATAACTGTTTTTTTTTATACCACTGAGGTGCTAAACGAGCATACGGCCCGCCTGATGATAAGCAGTTACCGTAGCCTAAGAACGCCTGCAATACCAGGGGTATTACGCGCCCCTAAATTGATTTGGCCACAACTGAATTCAGTTTTTTTTTTTGTAGAACATAATTTTCCAAATCGGTTTAGAACTAACGGAGTTACGAGGTAACAAACTTAAAAAAAAAAACACGACCGAATATAATAATACCTCCTTAAAGTCTGTCCAAAATGGTTTTTTGTTCGAAGCAGTTATCAAAAATAATAATGACAAATTGTGACATGTCGTGCCAGACAGGTGGATATGTGATGAATTGCTTCTCTTTGCAGCTTACACCGTATAGTCTGTCCTTGTCTATTGAATGATTGAAGCGTTACAGTTCAGTGAACCGTGGTTTTTTTTTTGTTCACCGTTATTAATCATCTTCAAACGTGCATATACTAAGTACCTAGTCAATGAATAAGTACTAACGTTAAAATAGTTTCACGTTAACATTTAA